ATTTAGGTTAAGCGCTTTTTTCTTAGACGAGTATTTCTGTTATCCTATAGGAAGTCTATATTATAATATAGACGTCGTATTATTTTTTTAGGAAATGTTTACATTCAGAATATAGATTGAGCACGACAGAGGTCTAACTTTGATCTAAATAATTGTTACTTTAGATGACTGTATAAGTATACTTATATTATAATAATAATAATATACTATAATAGTAATCTAAAGAAACAATTATTTAGATTAAATTCAGACCTCTGTCGTGCTAAATCTATATCCTGAATGTAAACATTTCCTAAAAACATAAATAAGACGTCTATATTAGGATTACAGATATACTGGCCTAAGAAAAAAAGCATTTAGCCTAAATATGGTCATCTGCTAAAAACATAGATAAAACATACATATATATTCATCTAAAAAAAGTAAGCATTTAGATTAAATTTAGACCTCGGCTCATTTTAGACTGAAGACGTCCATAATAAGACTACATATATACTCATCTAAAACAAAAAGGATTTAGATGAATTTTAGATCTCTGCTCTGCTTAATCTAGTCTGAATATAGATATTTCCTAAATACATAGATATGAGGTCCATATTAAAACTATATATGTATATATCATCTAAAGCAATACTTATATAAGATCAAATTTAGACCTATGCTCTTATAATGATATAATGACGTACCTAATATATACGTCTATCTCGAGGACATTTCGATGCCGATCTGCAATCTGAACAATACCATCTATAGATATCTAACGAAGACGTCTAATGATCATCTTTAAGATGAAAGTGTGTTGCTTGGGTAGTTGACAGTTGTCAAATGTCATACAATCGTTAAAATAAAGAAAGGCATGCCTTTCTTGTAAAATAATACTAAATGTGAAAATTATTTTATTATCTCAATACAAAAATACAAAAGTAGGTATTACATTGTACAGGGTGATCCATTATATATGTCCACCCCCCCTAACTTTTTTCCTTTAGATTTTAGAAAAAAAAGTTTTATATAAAAGTTGTAGGGTTCAACTAAAAGTTTTTTTTCGTGTTATGTTTACGTACACAGGGGGGTCCAAAAAAAATAACAGATAAAAACATATTTTTTTTTCTATGGAATGACCTATATTTTATATCCTTATGTGATAGCTCTTTAAACGCTGATTTCAAAAATATATATAATAGGGTGGCCCAAAAAAAAAGAATATTTTTTTTCTTCTCGTCTCTTGTGAAAATATGTTGGTTTGTCATGTTTTAAGAGCCCTGTCAAAAGATCAGCACCATTAAAAAATTTTTATGGGTCGCTCAAGATTTTTAAAAATTACCAAAATCGTCAAAAATTGTATTTTTTTTATTTTAATTTTTTTTCTCGTTCCGATATTATTTTTTAATTTAAAAATAATAATGATTCTGAAAATTTCAAATCGATATTTTAATTTCTAAAGGTCGCTCAAGATTTTTTTAACTTTCAAAGTAGAGTATTTTGAATGTTTTCGAGCGACCTCTGAATATAAATATCAACGAACTTTTAGCCACCTTTAGAAATCAAAATATTGATTTGAAATTTACAGAATTTTTATTATTTTCAACCTAAAAAATAATATCGAGACGAGAAAAAGAATTAAAATAAAACAAAAATCCAATTTTTGACGATTTTGGTAATTTTTAAAAATCTTGAGCGACCCCTAAAAAATTTTTAATGGTGCTGATCTTTTGACAGGGCTCTTAAAACATGACAAACCAACATATTTTCACAAGAGACGAGAAGAAAAAAAATATCCTTTTTTTTGGCCACCCTAATATATAACATTAGGGTTATTTTTGATACTTAAAACAGAAAATGCTAAAAACTAAAATTTCACTTAGCAAGCCATGGGACGCCATTAATCGTTCCATTGTTTATTTAGTGTGTAATTATGGTGTTTTCCGAAAAAGAAAAATTTGAAATTATTAATCTTTATATTAAAAATAACAAAAATGCAGTTGCGGCAAGACGCGAATATATAGAAATTCATGGGTATGGTGACAATATTAATATACCATCTAGAAAGGCGTTTAATCACTTCGGAGAAATAAATACTTAAAAAGAAGAAAAAGGCAAATCCTTCCAAACCTGGATGAAGAATTAGAAAATATAGAAGAGTCTTTTATTTATTAGTAATAAATTATTGCGTTATAAATACTTGAGTATTTCAAAAATCGCTGCTCATTGAGACGACCATTGTTTTTTGTTGTCTCTGGCAACGAATCAGGGTGTCTCCAAAAAAGTTTATTGAGGACCAAGATGGAGTTTTTAAAATACCGAATAATATTTTCCAGATTTTACGGCCTTGCTGGATTTTTTACTAGTAATAATTATAGTATATTTTTTAGAGAACCCTTTAAATTCCATACGTGATGATTTGCATAAAAGTTTTGGAACAATCTAGAGAATTTTAAAGAAAAACAAGTGGCATCCTTTTAAAATGATGAAAGTGCAGCACCTCACGGAGGAAAATAAGGCACAAAGACTAATATTTTGTAGGCTTATGTTAGAAAGACTAGAAATCGACCCTCTATTTTTTTATAAAATTTTATGGACTGACGAATCTTCTTTTACAACAGCAGGCGTACCAAACAGAAAAAATTTACACTATTGGTCTACAGAAAATCCAGAAAAATATTTTGAAGTGAAACGTTCTGGGCGTCGTTCTTTTAATGCTTGGTGTGGAATTAAAAAGAACAAAATTGTAGGCCCTATATTTTATGAAGGTGCATTATCAGGTGATAGATATCAAAGGATTATATCAGAAGATGTAGAAGAGTTAATAGATAATATGCCACTGAATGAAGCTACCGAAATTATTTGGCAACAAGATGGAGCACCTCCACATAATGTTGCTCGAGTAACGCACTATCTCAACAATAAATATAGAGAATGGATTGGAAGACACGGAACAACGATATGGCCAGCTAATAGTCCAGACCTTAGATACTTTTTTATGGGGTCATTTAATAAATAAAATTTATTTTACTACGCAAGAAAACATTAACATAATAAAAGAAGGAATTAGGACTGAAAGAAATAATATAAATACCAATCATTCTAACTGAATTAATCAAGCTATAGAAAAATTAAAAAAAGGCTATCGACTATGTGTAGAAATGAACAGTGGCCACTTTCAACATTTGGCCGAATACAATAAATAAATAAATAACCACGCCCAAGTATGAATATCTGTTTAGTTGATGGTTCCACGCCTAAGTAGGTGTTATAATTTTATTAATAATTATTGTTATTGTTTATATGGTAAATATTAAATATTAAACAGTTCAACAAATATGTTTCTGTGAAAATCACTCAATAAAGACGTCAAAACAAATAATGAAACGACGAATGAAAAAATGACGACCCATGGCCTAAGTGAAATTTCAGTTTTTGGCATTTTCTGCCATATATATTAAAAATATCCATAATGTGTTATATATTTTTGAAGTCAGAGTTTAAAGAGTTATTACATAAGGGTATAAAATATAGGTCATTCCATAGGAAAAAAATATATTTTTTTCTGTAATATGTTTTTGAATCCCCCTGTATACGTAAACATAACACAAAAAAAACTTTTAGTTGAACCCTACAACTTTTATATAAAACTTTTTTTTCTAAAATCTAAAGGAAAAAAGTTAGGGGGGGTGGACATTTATAATGGATCACCCTGTACTGACCTTTTAATTTCGCCAGCAGTAAACTAACTTTAATTCGGCCACGGACTCCACTGTAAAGTGTTCATAATAGTATATTATGTATCAAGTTTTATAAACGTTTTAGTTACGAATTTAATTAAGCACGAGCGAAGCTTGCGAGCGAGTGTTTAATAAAAACGAGTGTCTAGAGAATTTTATAAACGAGTACAATTACAAATAAATACAATTGGCTTTAAATTCTGTTTTGTGTTTGTCGTAGATAAAGTATAGTATGCACCTCGTTTATAAACTTTTCTATACACTCATTAATTGAATTCGTGTATAAAATGGCGTTTATCAAACTTGATACATAATATACTATTATCTACTCCTAGGCTGTGACTTTATGGCGTTTTAGTCAAGTTATAAGCAGTGGCTTTTAAGCTTTTTAGTCACGGGCTGAAGTTAGCTTTATTATAAATTGGGATTAAGTGAGGTTAAATTCGGGTGACAGTTGACAGTTGTCAAATTTATAACAAATAAAATTGGCTTTAAATTCTGTTTTGTGTTCGTCCTAGATAAAGTATGGTATCCTTTATAAACTTCTCAAGACACGTTCGTGCTTAATTAAACTCTTAACTAAAATTGCGTTTATAAAACTTGATAATATACCTACTATTACATATAGTTTTTTTATTATTTGTAATATACCGGCTTTATATGTGATTTTAATTTTAAGTAGGGAAATAGATGGTTATTTTACTATTATTTTCTTAAAATGTCTAAATCATGGAAAATGCTAACCAAAACATGTAAGAATATTATAATGCACTTTTATCCTATAAAAAGGAGTTTTGTAAAATTATTACCTTGACAAAAACCTACCACAAAAATCAAACCATTCTTCTAAAAACAGGTATGCAACCCAGATAACAAACCGATCAAATTACAAAACAATTAAAACGTGAACAATCTAATAACGCAAAATTAAACACGATTTTTATTTGCCCATCCATAAAACGTGCAAATACAAATATTTGCCTAATTAATAAAAAATAACCCGCTCTATGTAATTTACATTCTTCTATTAACCGCATATGAGCAATTTGGTTTTTACATTTGCGTGCATTAATTAATCGACTTGCGTTGGCTATGCAAATGCAAATATACCGAAAATCTTATCTTTACAACACCTCTTTCAAATTTTGTAGGTTTGCATAGATCACACACACTTGGTGCATCTAGTCATCGTCGGTTTAGCGGTTTAATTGTTGCGCGTGTTTCATTTGTCGCCTCTCCATTATTCAGATGAACGCTTTTTAATTTGTAACAGTCAATATTTAGTGGGTTTAATGTCAACACGCAATTTACTTACGGGAGCTCTGGCTGTTTTTATTTATCAAATCGGTGGATAAAGCGGCAACATGTTCAAGACGCACAAGCTTTTTCCTGGGCAGGTAAAAATATTAATTTGTTTAACGCCTTTTTGCTTATCTTGTTTTTTTGTTTGTAGAATTTATTTTAGTATTTTTAATTGTTTTATTATATTGTACATATAAAATTTAAAAGTGTAATTCATAAAAAAAGTTTATTTTAACGAAAATTAATATAAAACTATATACAATGCGTATAAAATATGTCGAAAAGAATTTGCTTTTGGTAAACAATTTTTCCTGCAGCTAAAATTTAATATAATGTAATATTTTTAATATATTAAAATATGTTAAAATTTGTAATAGTATATTATGTATCAAGTTTTATAAATACTATTTAAGTTACGAGTTTTATTAGGCACAAGCAAAGCTTGCAAGCGAGTTTTTAATAAAAACGAGTGTCTAAAGAAGTTTATAAAACGAGTTGCACACTATACTTTATCTACGACGAACGCCCGTTATGGGCCAGACTGGCCAGGGGCGGACCGTTGACTTTGGGGGCCCTGGGCTAAAGCTCTTTGTGGGCCCATCAATAATTATGTATACTACAGAACAAAACAACAAATTCTTACGTCAAAAATTAAAAAACCAGAAAAAAATTACACTTATTCTTAATAAAATTAATGAATAACATAAGTAAAAATTCTAGCATTTATACAAAGTGTCGGGATAAGACCTGTACAATGCAAGGCCACAAATTGATTGGTTTAAAATATTTCGACTTAACCCAACATACCCAAATAAAAATTTGTTTACCTGCTAGCGGCCTTTATAATATGTAAAAAAGATTATTTTATACTGCAGTATATAAATCGACTATTTTTTTTATAAAATTTAATAGCCTCATGAGCCTGTTAAAATATCACCCATTAATATTATTGGTTGCTATTTGCAATTTTACATTTAAAGTAAGTAGGTACAGGGTGATCCCCTATAATGTCGCCCCCCTTTAACTTTTTTATTTTAAGTGTCCCAAAAAATTTAAAAGTGTGGTTATGTAGGTACTAAAAATACTTTATTTCTAGGTATAAAGAAAAATGGAAAATTGATCAATATACAGGGAAAACCAAAAAGTTTATTTTTTTCAATGGATCGCCCTATAATGAATTTATTTTTCGATTCCTTGTAAAATTCTGAGCATAATTCATAAAACAAACCATATACCTAAACTCAACCGTTTCTGAAATATTCGCATTCGAAATGTTATCATTAAATGTTTTTTTAAAATTTGTATTTAAAATATATTACTATAGTCACATTATGTCAATATGCCTTGGTAAATAAGTAAAAATGGGGTACTCAGACAGAGAAACAAACTATTTCAAATTATTATCTTAAAAATAATTTAAATATTTCAGAAACGGTTGAATTTAGGTATATGGTATGTTATATGAAATATGCTTAGAATTTTACAAGGAATCGAAAAATAAATACATATATTGATCCATTGAAAAAAAATAAACTTTTTGTTTTCCCTGTATACTGATCAATTTTCCAATTTTCTTTATACGTAGAAAATAAGTATTTTTTAGTACCTACATAACCACACTTTTAAATTTTTGGGAGACTTAAAATAAAAAAGTTAAAGAGGGGCGACATTATAGGGGATCACCCTGTACATGGGATTTTTTTATTTTAAAATTAATTAACTCGTTAACCTATTAATGGATGATTAGAACTTTTATTTTAAAGAATTAAACGCTCCACAATAAAGTTTACGTATTATTTTATGATAAATCTACTCGTGAAAAAATTATTTAAGACAAATTCATAGCAAATTTTATGTTTTTCTTACTTTCTCGGAAAAAAACATCAGACTTGTCACAATATGTTAACAATGATCATACATTTTTTGTAGATTTTATTTTCCATAAAAATATGTCATTATTTTTTTAATGCCTTAACCAGTATAAATGCAAATATTTTTTGCAATAAAATTGATGTTTTTTTTAAATTAATTAGTATTTATTCAGAAATATTAATTTGGTTAAAAAAATTTAGAAAATTACACAATTTTTTGAAATAAGTCTGATAGTTTTAGCGGAAAAGTAAAAAAAACTTGAAATTTATCTTAAATGTAATTTTAAGCTTAAATAACTTAAACAAGTAGATTTATTAAAAATAATAAGAGACCTTTTTGTCGAGAGTTTACGTTACATAATCTATGCGAATAATATTTTTAAAATATATTGTTTTGATTTAAGTTCATTAATCCGTTAAAAAGATATATTATTCCAAAGTTAATTTTGACCTTTATGCAACTATTAAACAGTCGATTTTTTAATCAGTCTGAGTATATTTTTAATTTGCATCGCGTTGGGGGCCCTCGATCGGACGGGGCTCTGGGCTTCAGCCCATAATGCCCATGCCTAAATCCGCCCGGCAAGGGGGGTTTGGAGGAAAAAAATATTATAGGAACTTTTCATATTATTTTTATGTGTTATATCTAAATCCGGGAGATTCCCACATATTTTGGGACACCCTGTATATATGTTTTCTAAAAAAACACCGACAACTGCATTTTGAAGAAGTAAAAGACAGAAAATATATACAAATATAATATTATATATTATACCTGTTTTTGGTCTTTTACCGTTGATATATACATTTAGACCAAATATTTCTTTTATGATTTTTTTCGAATTTAAATGTTTCCAATTTCCACGTAAATCATCAATAAAATGTGTATTTATTGTATCTAATAGGTACAATTGATATTTTACAGGAAATGTATGCAATTTATTTCTTCAATATTTTTAACATTTTCCGGCCTTTTTCTCGAAAACACTCGTTTGTAACATTCGTGTTTGACAGCTGATTATTAATAGCTGCACTTTTGTTACAATGATGACTGCCACGTGGTGGCGCCACTAGCGATGCTTCTTTAGCGTATAGTATATATATATATATATATATAGTATAAGCGGCGGACCCGGGCCCCCAAAGCCTACGGACCCCGGGAATTTGTCCTGTCTGCCCCCCTTTCGTCGGCCCTAAATACAATAACCAAAATCCATCCAGTTCGAAACTTTTTCGATGTTTAAATAAAGATTGACTTGTAGCGATTTTAATTACCTTTTCATTTTTAATTCTAATAGTGGTGAAACGTTGTCACAAGTGATCAATATTTACCAGTTTTTTCGTTTTTAATTATATTGTTTTCTTATGTCCTCTACCGGGCGAAAATATTATTTTGTTTCCAAATCCAGGGACGTAGCAATAGGGAGTGCAAGTGGTGCCATGCGCCAGGACCCGAGCCCCGAAAGGACTCGGAGACAGACTTTTGAATAGCGTTTTTCTCGAAAACGGTATGACTTTGTAACCTTCTTTACGTAAAATTGTCTGGAGAATTGTATTTTTTTCCGGAGCAGCCCCTGTTTCGCACGTCATCATTTATCCGATTTGACACCACCAGATGATTTCTTGCCCAAAAAATACCCCAGAAATAAAGCATCATTATTTTTGCAACCGTTTCTGAAGTAACTAATGCGTATAGCGCCCCAGGAGGCATTTTCGGACATTTGTTTATAGCAACTTTTTCTTTTATTTTTACGTGTATAATCTCCCCCCGAAATATATTAACGTTATTTACGGACACCCTGTATGTTCACTATTTATTTTTTAATTTTTTTTAAATAATATATTGCAATGTATCATTTTACTACATATTTATTTAATCCAGTTTATATTTCGGTACCATTGAAATGGCAAGATTTTAATTGCATCTGCCCTGTTAAGCGAAAATGCCTTATCTGCAATATTTAATATTGTAGATAAGTTATTTTCGCTTAACAATGCAGCTGCATTTAGAACCTTGTCATTTCAAGGTACCGATTTATGTGAAGTTTTCTGCCATTGTTTTGTTTTATTATTATTGATAATCAATTTATTTTGTTATATTTAATTTTACCTGTTTTTATTATATATTTAATCGCATATATCTTATTTCACAAATAACAATTAAATGCAGATTTTATTGCAATAATTATTTTACACTGCTTTATCACTTGTTATTTAGATATTTTGGTTTACCACTACTATTTATTTTGTCATATATTATACTTTATCTTACACATTGTTTTGTGCTTGTTTCTGTACCTACATTGATAATGGTTTCATTTTGTATGAGACGAATCACGTCAAGTGGACCCCACATTTTCCACTTAGGGCCGGTTTATCAATGTCCAGTTAGAGTTGCAGTTAGTTATCTGGCAGATAATCTCCATGGATACCATTGTTCTCACAACGATCGATATGGAATTTAACTGTCAGATAGACTAACTGGAACTAAACCAGATATTGATAAACCGGCCCTTAGTCATAGAATTTAAATTGTATTACATCAATCGTAAGTAGTCATTACTAGCAATATTTCCCCCAAAACTAGTAGGCACCGCAAAGTAAAACCAAGATATTCAAAGATTGTCAAAACTTATGGAAACTGCAAGAAGAGATATTATGGAGATTAGGGAAACTGAAGGAAATTGAAAATGAAGCAACTAATTTAGCTCGTGATTGGGAAATTGATCCAAGTTTTAAAAATAACAAACTCTTACATTGAAAAAATAATTCTTTGAGCTGTCATGTGACGAACGACTGTACTTTAAAGTAATGGTGTTTAACCTAATTTTGGACCTTATCATAACACAACTGGAAAATCGATTTAGAAGATTAAAAACGTAATTCAAAGGTTTAAAATACTTTTCCATTTGGTCCTGATAAGTCACTCTGATGCTGATTTGGTACATGTATCTAAGAATCTGGTCAGGATTTATTCTAATGATTTATGGCAATCGCTTTTGCCATTTAGGCGAATTTATAAGGATAAGATTAATAACGAAATTAGTTAACAGTGATTAAATGATTTTTAGCTCATTCATAGAAATCTTCTGTGCTTTTATTATTTTTTTTAACTATTCCCGTATCGGTATCAACTTTTCTGTAATAGTTTTGGAATATGCAATTCCAAATGTGTTTCAGACTATACTTTTTCTACATTTCCAAAAAATACCATAGGTAAATAA